AAACACCTGCCCTGCCCAGCCAAACTGAATAAAACAAACCAAACCACACATTTCACAAAATAAATCCTCTCCTCCTTCTGTTTCTTTAAACCTGAGCTGACCCTGGGGAGGCTCCAGCAGCAGAACCAGGAGTTGCTCTGCCCTGTCTTGTTCTGGCCACAGCACTGAGCATTTCCTGTCCCATGTGTGACCACAGCACTGACCATTCCCTGTCCCACAGCTCTGACCATTCCCTGTCCCACCTGTGGCCACAGCACTGACCATTCCCTGTCCCACAGCTCTGACCATTCCCTGTCCCACCTGTGGCCACAGCACTGACCATTCCCTGTCCTGTTGTGGCCACAGCACTGACCACTCCCAGCCCTGTGTGACCAGCCCGACCCAGTCCCACTCCAGGGGCAATTCCCATTCCAGAGGCAGCTCCCTTACCTGGCTCCCTCTCACCCTCTCATTCCCTCCAGAGCTCCTTCAGTCCTGCTTTCCCTCCTCACTCACATCCCTTGGGGCTGATTCCCAGTTTACTCTTCATTAATAAACATCAATTACTTGAGGAGCCTTGATTAAGAAATTATTCCACTCTGCCTGAACACATTGAGCCAATAACCCTGGGAGCTCCAGGTGCTGGCAATAACCCCCAGCAGTGTCCAGAGAAGGGTTGCAGATTTCCCAGGTTTGTCCAAGGGGGTTGAAGCACCTTCAGGCTCCCTGTGATGGTTTAAATCTCCCTGTGCCCAGCCCCGAGCCTCAGCCCCCCAAAAAACCACATACACATCTGGACACATCTGGATGGGAGATCCTGGGCTCACTCTGCACCCAGCCACAGCAGGATTCAGGATTCAGCCACCAGGCTGTGAGCACTCCCAATGGCACAGGGGGCACACAGCAGCTCAGCTGGATGGGACCGGACCCTTCATCCCCTTCTCCACCTTCTCCCCACCTTCCTTGTCCCTGTCCCTTTCTCTTGGGTAATTGCTGCCCCGAGATGTGCAGGATGTCTCTGTTTCAGAACTGAAGAACGAGTCTGGACTCTTCACTTTTCGGTCTTGAGGTTGTTTATTAATTCTTATCTATAAAATTTTCTTTCTGCCCAGCTGAGATCTGCTCAGCAGGGCAGCCACAGGCACTCTGACCGCCCCCGAGGTGGTGTTGTCCTTTTATACTACAAACTACATATTTACAATATTACAGAATAACATATTTACACTTAATGCCCAATAGCTATCACCTATGTTAGACAGTGCACTTCTACTCTAAACCAATCCCAAAGTGCCAACACCACTGCAGAAAATGGAGAACAAGAAGAAGAAGGAGAAGAAGGACAGGATATGCCCACATTCCTCCATCTTGCCTCCTGAACCCCCATTCTAAAAACCCCAAAATTCTACATTTTCACCCTGTGATTAATTCACTATCATTCTACTCATACTCTTGTGGCTTGTAACTCCTCACACAAAGCTGGTAATTGTTTCCAGCCCTTGATGTGGTGTTAGTTTTTTATACTAAAAGCTATGTGTACAATATTTACACTTAATTCCCAATACCTATCACCCATGTTAGACAGTGCACTTCTACTCTAAACCAATCCCAAAGTGCCAACATCACTGCAAAAAATGGAGACCAAGAAGAAGAAGAAGAAGAAAGGCTGGACACGCCTGGATTCCTCCATCTTGTCCCCATAACTCCCATACCAAAAATCCTAAAATCTACATTTTCACTCTGTGATCATTTTATTATTATACCATTCAACCCTCTGTGACTTTCAGATCCTCATACAAAGCTGGTAACTTGCTCCAGGGGTCAGAATCAAACCTGCAGGTGTTCTGGGCTGTGTGCCAGGGTCTCTGAGCCCTGTGGAGGGGTCCTGGCAACTCTGGACACCCAGAGGGATGTGCTGAGTTCCAACACCTTTCCAGCAGGATTTCTGTGCAGCCAGGAAGGCTCCCTGCTTTGGGGAGCAGCCCATCCCAAACGGAACCAAATACCTGGCCGAGGAGGAGCCCCGAGAACATCAGGAAAGGCAGGACCTGCCTGAGTCAGCTCAGCCTCTCCTGGGGCAGGGACAGGAATGAGGGGCAGATGCTGAGCTGGGGACAGGTCCCCCCTTCTTTGGGAGCCACAGGATCCTTCCCTACAAACACCAGAATGCCCAGGAGCAGCACCACGGGCACTGAAACCAGGGTCCCCCAGAGTGTCCCCCTTCCACCTGGGCCCTCTGCTCACCCCGTGGGCCAACAGCAGCTTCAGCCTTGAAAGGAGAGGCTGAATCCTCTTCTGACACATCCCATGTCACCTGCAAGTCAAACCCATCCTGCTGGAAGGACACAGCACTTGGAAAACCCTCATCCATCTCAGACCAGAGTGGCTCCAGTGATGCCAGTGAAAAACAGGGTTCCATGCTGCTTGTCCCAAGAATTAAAGGCAGTTTTCATCCTGAACCATCATCCTGCTGCACCTTTCTGTGGCAGAGGGAGTTTGGGCCTGTCTCTGGCATCTAATCATGGAATTATGGAAGGGTTTGGCTGGGAAAGGACCTCAAAGCTCATGTCATTCTGCCCCCTTCCACTATTCATGGTGCTCCAAGCCCTTTCCTTGGACACTCCCAGTGATGGGGAGGATGCAGGACACCGGACACGATGCTGTGCAGGAACTGGGTATCATCCAGATCCATTTGGATTCCATCACCTGGAGAGGCTTCCTGGGCCACTGTGCACTGGGAGATGCTCTTGGAGCCAAACTTGTTCCCATGGGCTGGACCTAGGCTTGGAAACTTCATTTCATGGAAGAAAAAGGAGAGGAAGAATTGATCCTTGGAGGAGAAAGGAGCAGGGATTGGTGCTCAGACAGGTGGGATGAGCTGGGACCATGAAAGATCCCACCAGGATCAGAGCAGACACTGCTCCCAGGCTCTACTGCACCAAAGTGCCCTCACTCCACCTGCCCCTGCTCAGTCCCTCGACTGAGTTTTCCCAGGGCTGCCCTGAGTGTCTTCAGCACCTCCAGGGCCAAGGTGACCCTGACCTGGTGCCCGTTGGGATCCCATCCATGCCTGCAGCCACAGAGCCACCACAGAAACCCACCAGGAAGGGATCATATCACCCACAGAGCAGGAGCCACGAGCTATGGCTGCTCCCAGCCAGGAATTTGGGCTTAATCATTAAAATAAACCATCAGGATTACTGTGAGAAGTTCTGCCAAGGACCCACTGAATAAGTGACCTGGTGTTCAAATGCATTTTCCCTGGAGAGGATGTTTGGGGAAGGTGGACAGGGGAAAACACCCCGTTCCTGGCAATATATTGCAATTCCACCTGAAGGAAAGGTCAACCCCACTGCAGCAGGTCCCCTTCCCTGGGAATCCTTCCCAAACTACAGCTGCTCCTCAGCAGATGGTTCTTGTCGGAGCACAGATCCAACCTCTCCTTCCCTCACCTCCCTTGGAAGGGAAACTCCAGCGTGGAGCAGCAGCTTTCCCACAGAACGGAAATTGGCATGGCCAAGAAGACCATCCCAGTCCCCCTTCCCAAGGATGCCACAAAGCAAGGCACAGATGGGAGCTCTTCTTTCCCAGGCTTTGCGGGAGAAACAGAGCCAAAGCAGGAAACCACATCCAGGGTTTGTACCAAACAGGGATTTAAGGGTGGGACGCCAGAGCTCATTGAAATTCAGAGGGGTTTTGTGTCTCCAGCTATAAAGGGCTTTTGGGCAATGGGAATGGGGCAGTCAAAGATGGTCTTGGGCACCTGAGATCTGCCTCGGGTCCAGAGGTTTAGAGGGTCTCTGGTGCTGCCAGAGCAGATGAATGAATAACCTCAGCACTCTTGGCCCACTCCCAGGGGTCTCAAAACCAGGCCCATCCTCCCTAAACCAGACCTATCTTCCCTAAAGCCAGACCTACCATTTCTAAAAACAGATTTATCATCCCCGAACCCA